AAAGGCTAGAAAATAACCTCCCAAATAGAATTCTTGTTGACAAGCGGAAACCTATTCAAAGACAAAAAATACAAAATCTATACTTGACACTGTCCCCAATCTCCAAGAAAAACATCACCTCCCTGAAAGACGAGAACCTCTGGAAAGAGTTCCCTCGACTCTCCCACCTCATCTCACCATAGCAAAGCCAGAAATTAGGAAAACATTTTAGGACAAGAGCAATAAAAATACATATCTCGTGGCACTAAAATATTCTGCACTTGAAACAATTGATTCCTACCCATTAACATGGATCCACTCATACACTGACGGATCTGCCTTTAAGGCATGGGTCAGTGATCAACTTGCCCAATGGGATCAAAAGGAAGTCTTTAATTCCAGCAGGTCCTTCTGCTCCAATTTCATTGCCGAACAACAGGCTATCTCCAACACAGCAAACTACATCAACTACTTGTTTGACACTAACCCACTTGCTACCACAGACAGTGTTATCTTTACAGACAGCCTTTCAACACTAGAGACACTCGAGAGTGGGACTGATGTGAGCAAAGATATATCACACTTGATTTGGAGTCTATATAATTTGATAAGTAGGCACCATATCAGAGTAGTCCTACAATGGATTCCTGTTCACACAGGGAAACGGGTAAATGAAAGAGTTGATGCTCAGCCTGATATTCCTACTGATTACACCACCTGCTGCCAAATGATCAAGTCAAACCTCAAGGAAGACTGGATGAACGCATGGGCCACAGATACAACAGGAAGGATGATGTATGGCCACATGAATAAACCACTGGTCAAAGACCTAATCAGTGAGTTGAGGAGGGGAGATCAATCCATAATCTTCCAACTTAGAACACAACATGTACCCCCCAATCAACACCTCAGTCAAATTGGAGTAAAGCAGTCTGTTGTCTGCCCATTATGTGACTACTCCTCAGAGACAGTGGAACATCATAAATCATCCTGTTCTTCTGTAGAAAACTAACGATTTGAGGGGATGTTTTCTTCCCAAGCTACCCCAAACGTCTAACTGCCTCTATTCATCAAGACAACAAATAGAACAGACATCCAGCTATTACAGAATGGCATCATGCAGAAGAGTATATTTATGTATGTATGTGTGTATGTGTGTATGTGTGTATGTGTGTATGTGTGTATGTATGTCTGTATGTCTGTATGTCTGTATGTACGTATGTACGTATGTACGTATGTATGTATGTATGTATGTATGTATGTATGTATGTCTGTCTGTCTGTCTGTCTGTCTGTCTGTCTGTCTGTATGTATGTATGTATGTCTGTATGTCTGTCTGTCTGTCTGTCTGTCTGTCTGTCTGTCTGTCTGTCTGTCTGTCTGCCTGTCTGTCTGCCTGTCTCTCTGTCTGTGTATGTATGTACGTATTTGTTTTAGTAAGAGTTTTACGGCACTTGTAACACAATAAGGTCATAAGTGCCGAACATTAGAGGTGTTACAAGAGAGTAACTAACATAAAAATGGAGGAGAGATCAGGACGATAGATGTTTGATAGGAAAGAAGGAGAAAGCCACACCAGAGCACCAGCCAACCATCCACGTATGTATGTACGTATGTATGTATGTATGTATGTTATTATATCTGTGTATATAGGTATGTAGGTATGTATGCAGGCAGGCAGGCAGGCAGCAATGCAAGTAGGAAGGTAGATTTGTTGGCTTGTATGTAGGTATGAGCTCGCGCATGTGTGTTTGTGTGTGTGTGTGTGTGTGTGTGTGTGTGTGTGTGTGTGTGTGTGTGTGTGTGTGTGTGTGTGTGTGTGTGTGTGTGAGTTTGTTTGTGTTTGTGTGTGAGTGTGTGTATTTGTGTTAGTTTGTGTGTGTGTGTGTGTGTGTGTGTGTGTGTGTGTGTGTGTGTGTGTGTGTGTGTGTGTATGTGTATTACTTCCTTCAATAATATTGTCATTAATTTCAGTAATTCTCGGTTGTGCTTCACCAATTTATGTAATTGCTGAGTCATATGTTATAATGTGTGAATATATCGGCCAAAGGTCTTTAAAATCAATAAAAATCATCTAAAAATCAAATCAAATGAAAATCTCTCCCCACCTCTCTCTCTCTCTCTCTCTCTCTCTCTCTCTC